ACTAAGCAAATGTTGAAGACTAGGATTTGAATATTATATCTAAGGGATTACTAATTGGTTTGTAACCCAATAAATAAAAGATTAGATAAGCTTCCTATAACTTTGGGGTTGAAGGAAGAAAATGTAACTTAGAAAGTTACAAAATTCATAGGAGGCCTTTGAATATTTGGTATTCAAAGAGGGTGATCATTCACTTAACTTTGGGTTAGGTGAATGGAAAAGAAAGACTAGGATTTGGGTCCTAAGCCTAAGCGGGATGTTCAATTATTAAACTTAGGTTCAAACAATTAAGAGAAAAAACTTAAAAGTTTGGTTCTAAGTTCAACAACCCCATGTGATAGTAAGTAGAAGTTTAGGAAAAGCTTCAAACTATTATACATGGGGGGAGAAGTGGCATTTGTTTGTTGATTTTGCATTTCAACAAACAAAGAAGAGGAAATAACCTAGGATTGATCCTAGAGTTAAAGGATTTATGCAATGACATGTTTAAAGGCTTGAGGAGCCTTAAAATATCTTGCATGAGAAAGGATATGTTGGTTTTTTGTGTTCCAACAAATGGGAAAAACTTAAAGTTTACTTTTAAGCTCAAAAGTTTAAGGCATGATGTATTTTGGGATCTAGAGAAATCCATAACACAACACATGATGAAGGTGGGTGGTAGCTTCTAAGATAGACTAAGAGACATGCAATGAGGTATTTTAAGCTTTGAAAAGGCTTCAAATGTCATGCACAAAAGGAGAGGAAAATTGTTTGTTGATCTTGTTTCAACAAACAAGAGGTGGATGACTTAGAATTTGTTTCTAAGATTTGACCATCATGTAATGATGTTTGATTGGAGTATTTGGAGATTCCAAATTATCATATATGAGGGAGAGGGGTATTCATTTGTCAATTTTATGATTTAACAAACGAAGGGAAAGAAAAGATTGGTTGGTTTTATGTTCCAACACAAGGGTTGATAGTTTAGAGTTTGGTTCCAAACTACAAAGATTCATGTGTAGAAGGAGCATTTAGAGTATTAGATAGTCTCTAAATACAACACATGAGTGAAGTGTTTGTTGATCAGGTGCTCCAACAAACTAAGTAGGATGACTTGAGAGTTTGGTCTCAAGTTCAAGTGATCCACATGGACATTTGGAGCTTAGAGAGGCTCCAAAATATCACTTATGAAAGTGCATGCATTTGTTGATTTTTGCCTCAACAAAAGGGAGATGGCTTAGGACTTGTTCCTAAAGTCATGATGGTTAAGGTTGATGGGATATTTTGGGGCCTTGAGGAAGCTCCAAAATGCCCAAAATGAAGGGTCATGGACAAATGCTTGTTGATCTTGCATCAATAAACAAAATGTCACAAACCTAGGATTTTGGTCCTAAGTCAAAAGGTTTCATGCATCGAAGTGTTTGGAGCCTTGAGGTGCTCCAAACCATTATGCATGGGGAAGGGAAGACTTGATTGGAGAATTCCCGATTCATGGAACGATCTCTAAATCAATTTTGGCATGATTTGAGAGGTTTGATAGGGTGGACTTGCCCATATTACCCTTCTAGAAAGACAATATATGATATCATCTAAGGGACCTAAAGACATAGGATGGAATATCATTAGAAATCCTATGGATAGGCTCTAAGAATTAGTTTTCTAGAGTCTAAGGGGAGCCTAAGGGTGAAGGCTTTCGATTGCCTTTTCGAAAGCTTCACCAAGTGCCCAAGTTATGTGTTAAAACCCTTAACCCATCAACTTACAAACTATACTAAACATGTCCAACAAACTTCCAATATATGATGGGGTGCAATCTATAAGTTCCTTGAAGCCATAGACCACCCCATCTTTGTTTTGCAAGCATCCATAAGTTTGGTGGGCATATTCATGGTTTTGCAAATTGTAGGTACAAGGATCATAGCCATTGACATAGAGCGAACATTCAAAGACAACAACTCACATAAGCTTAATTTAATATTAAGAAATAAAAGCGCATAATAAAAAGAGTTTCGCTTTGTCTCCCTAAATTTGGAGAAGTTCAACTGTCTTCCAATCAATCTATTGGTTGTGGGATTTGAAACATGAACCAATAATGCTCATAAACGATCCCACAACCTCATAAAAAATAATTGGAATGCATGTTTGAACACCTAACAAACTTAAAGGAGAATGTGAATGTCATGGCGGTGTAAACCTATCACATGCATACTAATTTTGTCATAACATGCAAGTTTTAGGGGTATGTTAACGTGTGTCACACTTAGACAAGAGACCTCGCACTTCTACACTTCATTGGACATTGGGTGAGCCACTAAACCTAGGGTTTGGTCAAAGGTAAGAGCACTAAACATGACATGGATATTATTTGCATGCAAAAATAGGGACGTCAAACATAAGTTCAACGCCCCATCGCCACGCCGCTATCTTTTTAGCTCTCACATGAGAGCAAATCATGGAAACTTACTTAATTTTCATGATTTAAACAAATGAACAGCGGAGATACGATTTTAGGAGAGCGAAAATTGAAGTTTCTAAGGACCTAGGGCTTGGAGGCGTCAACCACATAACAATTGGCCTTGGGGGACCCTAGGTTTCACTAAGTTTCAAAGGTATACCTTCTCCGGTTTGTCCTAGCGCTCCAAATTTCTATCCAAGCTGCTGTCCAAGGTCCGCTCCAAGCTCCAAAGTCGCTCCAAGCTTCGATTCAAGCTCCAAAGTCGCTGTCCAAGCTGCTCCGGAACTCGCTGCTGCTGTCCAAGGCGCTTTGAAGGCCCCAAATCGCTGTTTGGGGGATTTAGAAGCCTTCCTTTGCTGTTTGGAAGTCTCCAATAGCTCCCACCTCGCTCCGAGGTCGCCGGAGTTGAAAGAGGAAGGAGGAAGAGCCACTAACTTCGTCGATTTTGGAGGAAGAGAGTAAATGGGAGTCTCAACCTTTGAATTGCTTCCTTGGAATGAGAAAAAGAGCTCAAATCCTCAACTCCACCTCCTCCTTCACTTAGGAGAGCCGCACACCTGCGGCTTTGGCTCGTTGGAAGAAGGGGGACGGGCAGCAGAGAGGGAGCCGACACCTCCAGGAGGTTCGGCCGAAGGCGTCGCACGTGAGGGGGGCGCGAACGGGCTGGAAGTCGCGCGAAGGACTCTGGCGTGGACGAGCTTCGCCTGGTACTCCTGCTCCCGTTCTCTCTCGCTCTCTCCTCTCTGGGTCGCTGGATGGGTCTCACGAAACGAACAGGGGAGCCGAATGAGGCTCCCCACTGCTTCTCCCGCTCTCTTGTCCTGCTCTGGCTTCAGACGGACAGCCCAGGGGACCGCCCAAATGAGCCTATGAGGCTTCCTCGTTGCTTGAAACGAGGGGAATGTACTTGAGTACATTGAACCCAAATTTTGAGTGAGATTTGAGAGAATATCTCAGCCTTAGGTTTCAAAATTCTGATTTGGGAAGCTGGTTTAGCCCAAGGCTCGACCCGAACCGATTTGAGTCGATTTGGGTCCGATTTCGTTCGATCGAGTCAATTTTGCAAAATTGAACTCAGATCGATGCCGAATAGCGTCGAATTGGGCTTGACGAGGTTCGATTTAAATTGATTTGATTTTAATTAAATTAAATTAAATCTAATTTAATCAAATTGAGGCTTAATTGGATTAATCTTGCCTCGACGACGGTCAATTGGGTCGATCGAGCGCGATCAACCTTTGTCGGGCTCGATCGGGGTCGAGCCGATGCGAAAATATTCGTCAACAATTGGTAGCCAATGAATAAAGAAGCCATAGGTTACACATTAAATGCGAAGAGGATACGTCATTACATTCAAGGTACCATATCCAATGAACTCTTATATACTTTTGATGATCTCAATTTTATGAGTTTTAATATGGCGATTTGGGAACAAATATGGATGATAATAAAAAACATTATAGGATCTGTTTTATAATTAGATGATATTGCATTCACAAAAAACACGATCTATTATTACTCTCTTTAATTGTGAAGCAGAATATACAGAGGCATCATAATGCATGCATTATGAAATTTGCTTTAGGAGACTCCAAAAATTGTTGTCTTACAAATATCAATATTGATAGCCAATCGACATTCACATTCCAAAAATAAAAATCCATCATCAAAGGAGCAAGCACAGCTATATATGCTATAACTTTATTCATAAAAATGTGAAAGAGAAAGAAGTGGAGCTTATTTACATGAGAAGATATGATAAAGTTGAGATATCTTCGCTAAATCACGTGCAACAGATCCATTTCATAAACTCAAGTATCTTTTTGGCAAATCATATAAGACAATTAAGTTTAAGGGGGGTATTGAAAATTAAAACTTTATTTTAAATTAAAGAATTATAAGGGTGGGTTGCATAGAATTCTAAACATAAAGTTATTTTTATGAAAGCATTAAACGTAAATCATGCATGTACAAAAAATACAAAGAGTCATGAGCATATTAAGAGCCAATTTTGATTTTGTAATGTAACATTTGGATAACTTTGTCATAACTCATTAAAGTTCTATTGCATTAAGAAACCTCAATGGGGTCATTTTGGAATCATGAGCCAAATAATTTGAGCATAAAACTCCTTTAAATGTCATTTCTATTTTTTTGTCTAATTTATGCTAGCCATTTTATTTCTCCTAATTTCTATCACACTCGGGAATTCTCATAAATGGAAAGTTATCTTCGCCAAATCACGTGCAACAGATCCAAAGAATTTCTTACAATTCTTTGGAAGGCTATTGATCTTTGAACAAAACTACTCATGAAATTTCACAAGCATTTCATAGATTCATAGATTGTTAGTTTATAACAAGATCAGACTTTACCGATTATTGTATAATTTATCAACGAACACTATACCTAAATCTAAATTCTGTAGAGAGCAATAGATGTGGGTAACATTTTCCTTCATTAATCAACTTTAAAACACAGGCAAAAGTGTATGATTTCGCATGCAACCCTAGTGACAAACTGATTTATGATTTATAATACATGAGACCAAGCAACAACATCTTACCTTTAATCGGGTTCTTTTACCTTCGACAGCCTTCTGTGTAGATTGTAGCACATCATAATAAAAGTACTCCCGTATTTCCTTGGAATGAGGAATGTTATTCAGCCTAGTAGGGATCCCACGCCACTTTTCCTGTGAATAGAATGTTCAGCAAGAAAGTGCAATATTCAAGTACTTCCATAAATTTATTCTTTTGAGCAAATAATCACCCAATTGTTTTGGAAAGATCAAATAAAAAATAACGTCATCAGAATCACCTGGCTCGAAAATGAAACGGTGGATCCCCCAACTTCAACTGGATGTTCTATAAGCAAGTGGAAAGCAGAAAATTACAAAAATGTTGAAACTTCAAAAATCACGGGCAGAATTCAGAAAATGTTAGTACCAACAAACATAAAGCGTATATAGAATTAAAACAATGATTCGTGGAAATTTAAGGCCAAAGAGGGCCACTTTTCCAAAAGTTTTGCAAGCATATTCCAATTTACAATCCAAGAATTGAACAACAGCCACACGGTACAATGAAAATTAACAAAAAAAAGGAAAGGTTCTAAAGCACAAGAAATAATACATGGGCCAAATCAGATTTTGAGGCATGCTATACATGGGCCAGAGTCCCCGTGTTAGGCATCATTTGTATTTCCTAGGTTATTTCAAAAATTGCACAATACAGTCCCTGTTATTTGGATGAATCATGCTGAGTATGCTATGAAGACCAATCATAAAAGAAGGCAAAATAGTAGGACAAAGGTTAAATTTTGTGTGCCCATTAATGATCCAACATATCATGGAAAGAACTACAACTGTTGGAAGTACGCAGAAAATTTATAAAATGTTATAAAAGTTACAAAATCAAATCATCTATAGTTGTAATACAGGAGGCTCCAACATCAAACTAGTCCAATCATATTGCAAGCCCAATTCATGCCCAAATCAAACCTAGGTCAGGCCTAAAAGGCGGGTTGGTCCATAAAGCACAAGAGGGTACATGCAGCCAACATCTGATCTTCAAATTAAATAAAGGTCGCATTTCAAATGTCAAACCACTCTTCCTCAATGATGAAGGCCAACAAATTAAATGGAGGGGAGAGAAAAGGTGGTTTCCAATTCAAATTCAAGAGGAAGATTTTAAGAAAATTCAAGACTCCATATCTTCACAACTCATTCCCATCATTCTTAAACTAGCAACATATGAAGGAGAGAATAATCACTTTCCATGAAATTATTTACATTTTAAAGCTTTTGTCAATATTCTCTTATCTATCCTAGACTTCTATGTACTATAAATACCAGAAAGTACTGAGACAAATTCATTCCAATACAATGAAGGAATTCTTGGCATGTCAGGTCTCTCTCTCTCTCTCTCTCTAATTCTAGCTGGACAAAGGCCCCTCCGCTTGCAAGTTTTGTCAATATAGACCTGTCACGCCTCATTTTGACCCCCTACAGTCAATCTAGAGTGTACCATAGAAGGAGAATCTAAACAAACCTTCTTCTTACATACACCCATTCTGAATGACTTCAAGAAGAATCAGATAAGTAAGAAGTAGTCTATTAGAACTATCCTAACACATCTAATGTTTATACTTTATGATATGAAGCATATGTAAAATACCTCAAATAAATGCACACTTCAAATGAAATACAGAGCTTTGCTAATTTTTTTTAAATTTGCTTACATACTCAAAAGTGTCTGTACAATTAAATACAGAGCTTTGCTAATGGAAATGGAAATGAAAAAGGAAATGGAAATAAATGTACCTTTGGTACATAGAAACAATGCTCCTGTACAATTAAATGGAAAAAGGGATGTATATTAAAGTAAATCTTTTACGTATGTAAATGGAAATATTATAATGTGCATAATTGACCGTATGAAATAAAATGAATAGAAATTAAAGAAAAGCTTGCTAGTTATTAAATGAATAGACTTACAAAATAAATAAACTATATGATAATTATTATGTTAATAGTTAATGATTACCCACTGAGTTTACTTAGTAAACTCAACTCACGAGTTTAAATGTTTCAGGTAAGTTCCTAAGAAAAGAAATGGCAGAAAGAGAAGAACATGTTTATAAAAGACGTCGTGCAAATGATAACAGGTAAATTATGATTTTTTTAGTGGCTCTTCAGTTAATAGAAAAGTTTTTGATGATGAGTTATTATTATATTAATAGAAATGTACTATCGTCCGACTTTTCGTACCCGCCTCGTTAGATCGAGCATCCGGGCAGAGTTGTGATAAAAGTGGTATCATAGCCCAATTAAAATATGAATCATACTGAAAAAGCCATTAGGATGATTACAAATGATTATAAGGTTAAATGATTATGTTATGGTCAACAGGAACCAAAATGAATATGAAGAAGAGGAAGAAGTGGAAAGAACAACACCAAATGTTCCTGTTAATCCTGATGCATTGACTCAAATGATGACAGCTGTGACTCAGCTAATTCAAGATTCAAGAAATCAATCATCGGGGAGTAGTAGTGGTGGTGGGACGGTTATGGATAAATATCTGAAATTATTTTAAGATATGAGACTACCATTATTCAAAGGAGTAGAGAGACCAATAGAGGCTGAAAATTAGAATTAGAATTAAATCTAAATTCCCAAAGAAAACTAATATTTTCAAAACATGTTTTCAAAATTCCAACATTATATAGGTGAAAATCTTTGTTATTACTAACCCTTAAGACTTTTCGTACGTAGAAATAGGGTTTAGGTATCTACGATAAAACAAAAGTAATCTTAATAAAATTGAAGTTACTACAAGGACCTAAAGGATAAGGGTTCGCACAAACCACATCAAAGGGGTCCCTAAAGGTTTTCTAAGTTTAGAATACTCACAGTCACCGGGGGCTACGACCCGGTGGTTTCGCCCGTAGCACCTCTACCCGGTTGGATAGAGGCGACTGACGTCATTAGCTCCTTGTCCTTTTGTTCCCTCGACCGATACCGTTCCTCGTAGTTCATGCCAATAAAGAAAAGAAAACATGGAAATCAAGGATTAGAAAGCACATTTAATAATTAATAATAAAATAATTAAAATTTTCACTGAAAATAAAGACGTACCTCGTAGCACCTCTACCCGGTTGGATAGAGGCGACTGACGTCATTAGCTCCTTGTTCTTTTGTTCCCTCGACCGATACCGTTCCTCGTAGTTCATGCCAATAAAGAAAAGAAAACATGGAAATCAAGGATTAGAAAGCACATTTAATAATTAATAATAAAATAATTAAAATTTTCACTGAAAATAAAGACGTACCTTTCTTCTGGCTTGAACACTGGGCTGGTTCTCCAAATAATCTTAGGTGTATCTCATAAATAGCACAAAGAAATATGTAGAAGAAAATTTCATATGAAACATTAGGGAAGATGAAATAACTTCAAATATTAATATTATGATTTAATATAATCTTTCATATAATTTAAATTAACAATGCAAATCTTAATTTAATATAAGTATTGCCTAGCTGTGATAAAGAAATTTATAAAATTTTGATGCTATTCATAATACTATTTATAGAATTTTAATCATTTATCAATCTTATAGTTATTTTGAGTTAATGGGCAATTTTTTTTTAATACAACACCAAAAATCAAATTCAGTTTTATATTTCAACTTAATAAAATGATTTCATTCCACTTTTGGAAACTCACACATATTTTAAAATAGCAATTTTATTTTCATTTATTGATCATTCGTGTATTTTTATTATTGTTATACATAAAATGCATATCTAAACCCTTTTTTTAATCAAAATATGAAGCAAATATTCAAATATACATACACCCCTTTTCAATAATTTTATAAACCCTAGCTGTTAAACAAATTATCCCATTTCTTTTATAAATATTACAATTAAACATAGTTGTAATAAATCAATCATGAACTTGCTGTATATAGATGATTCAAATCTAGATAATTTTATATTGAAAATCTGACGTCAATCTCAATTAACTCAATTACTTTATGGATAGAAAAAACTAATATATAAACTGACAATATATTTAACCAAGATAAAACTATTACGAAATAAGAAAAAAATATATATATCACTTAGACTTTCGATCAGAAAAATGTAAGAAATGAATTTTAAACTTTTAATCAAATAAAGAAGACGTACACTTTTTTTTTTACAAGTTCTGCTCACTAAGGTCGGCAGAAAAAGTAAAGACATAATGATTGCTGAAGGAAGCCCGAACAGAGGAGGATTTAGGCAGGATTTTCGAACAACAAAGAGCGACGACGGGGGATTTTCGGAACTGCATGCAACAGAGGTGGCAAACGAGCAATGGATTTTGCACAAACTGCATTGGGGTTGGATTCGTTTCTGCGAACTATAGTGAAAAGGAGAGAGAGTTTGTCTTTTTGGGTTGATTTTGCGAACTGCCGAGAGAGACGTGAGGGAGAGGGAGCGGTTCTTGGATTTTCTGCGAAGAAGAGGCGATGGGCTGTGCGAGAGAGAGGGAGACGAGGTCAGTTCGCTAAAGAGAGAGAGATAGAGATTTGTCGTGAACTGCAGCGATGTGAGAATGGAGGAGTTTGGAAGTTCTGAAATGTTCTGGCTTTGTGTGAACTGATCATGAAGGAGGCAGCGACGATGATGTTAGAGTTCGGTCTGCTTCCGAATGGGAGAGAGTTTGGGCTGAGAGGAGACGGAATTCCTAGGATTCATGTGCGAGAGATCACGGGAGAGAGATCGTTTCTTGCGAACTGAATGGGAGATCGTGGGGGTTTTGATTTTTGCCAATTGGAGAGGAAAAGGGGCGGTTTTTTTTTTTGGTTCGAAATAAGAGGGAGTGAGAGAGATCGTGGGAAAGTTTAGACCACCCAAGTAAATCCAAAATCACCTCTTAATTCAAAACCAATGGCTGAGATTAGTTCAAGCTTTAAAAAAAAATTTAATGGATGATCTTAAAAATGAAATTTTATTAAAGATAAATTTAGTATACAATGGACGGGTTGATTCAGATTTGATAAAAAAATGAACGAGTCTTTATTGGATGGAAATCGGGATTTGATTGATAGTTAATTTGAGACCAATAATATATCAGTTTGATCGAAAATCATATTAAATTGAGTCGATCGACATCGACGAATAAAAAATCGAGCTTGATTTGAATTTGTTTGGAGTTGAATTAAAATCTAGATTGAATTTTTTTTAATTCGAATTGAGTGATAGGTTTGAGATGATGCTATGTCAGTGGGTGTTCACCTAAGGGAAATCCTATGGGTGACGTCTATTCTAGGTTATGAAGACCTAGGTGCTAGAATTGAATTCGGGGAAATTGACCTTGAAAAAGAGGTCAACAGAT